TCTATTCTTATATAGAGGACCGAAGGGGATGGTGCGATGAGGTGGCCATGACGTGTCCATCTCCTCCATCTAACACTTGTTCAACTCTTAACAATGCTTTTGGATGACTAAGCTTGTTCTAAGCTTGACAAGTTGCTTATTATAATTGGTCAATTCTTCCTTAAGCTCAAGGAAAGGCTTACGGCAATTAAGTACAATTTATGGGAAAAATTTTCTTAACTTCACGGCAATTAGGGTTCAATTGTGATTAATCATTGATTAATCACTATCTTTATGTTTAATTGTTAATTAAACATAATACTTAATTACCAAAATTATTTCGGACGTAAACGGTACGCCGAAAATAGATTTCGGTAATTCCAACTGAATTTAATTAATTCTGAAAATAATAAACAATAACGTTACTATATCGGAATTAAACGTAACTTATACTGATAATATCTCGGGATATTACATTATGTGCCTTGCGTGTTTTTATCGAGTCGTATTATGAATTTATATGCGTTTTGGATATCAAAGTGATTGCCGTCACTTTGGTTGTTAACGAACTGAGTTTCGAATGATATTTTTTGTGGAAATTCTGGAGTTATAGGTACTTAGAGTTGTCCTTGAGTTATTGGTTTTTGTTTGAGGTCGTTTCGATGTGTATATGTCGAATTATGAATTTTTTAAACCGAGCATGCTGCTGAATCATAATTAATTCATGATAAATTGTGTGATTGTCCGACTGCCATAAAATTTTATACATGATGTCCTGTGATGATTTTGTGGGTCGTGTAAAACGTTTAAGTCAAAAATCCATTTGTAGCTATTTTAATTAATTAAATTCGTTTTTGGTCAGAATTTTGTAAAATTCATTAAAAATCGCACACTTAGAGTTTTGAGCTTACATTTTGAGGAGTATGTTATTTTTAGTATTCTGTGTTGTGTCAAAAGTTTGGATTAAAATTCGAAGTGTAGCTATATGAACTATTAATGTCGGGTTTTTACAATGTTTTTGCTTAAATTATTTAAAAATTCTCTCGGATGAATTTAGGGCTGAAACTTGGTGAGATTATGTGTTTTTGTATGCCTTGTGATGTGGTAAAGTTTCAGGTTGATTGGTTGAGTCTAACTCCAGATTCTGAATTTTGTTTATTTTGGAGTCTT